GCTGATGGTCTCTCCCCTTTTGCTGGCACTGAATTGCAACTATTAAATGGGTTTTTATACTAATTCTGTGCTAAGCTCTCTGAGACTGCAAGGAAAAGACAAGCCAAATTAGGCAATGTTAGGTTATTATAAGGATGCCCTGGAAAGTAAAGAAGCATAGAACCCATCCCAACAGCTATGTGGATGGTCCTCAATTTTCTTACGATGGTTTGACTTACGATTTTTCATCTTTATGATGGTGCGAAAGCGATATGCATTCATATCATAGAAGCCATACTTCAAATTTTGATTTTTTTCCCGGGCTAGGGATACTTTGATACATATGATATTTTCATACATATGATATTTTCTTGTGATGCTGGGCAGTGGCAGTGAGCCACAGCTCCCAGTCAGCCACTGGATCCTGAGGATAAAAAACCACTACACTTACAACCATTCTGTACCTACCCAACCATTCCATTTTTCACTTTCAGTACAATTTTCAATAAATTACATGAGATATTAACACTTTGTTATAAAATAAGCTTTGTATTAGATGACTTGCCCAACTGTAGGCTAATGTAAGTGTTCTGAGCACACTTAATGTGCTAAGCCAAACTATGATACTCAGCAGTTTGGATGTATTAAACGCATTTTCAATTTTTGATATTTTCAGCTTACGATGGCTTTACCAGACATAACCCCATCGTAAGTCGAGGAAGATCTGTACTCCTGTTCAGAAGTCTACATCACTCTGAGGGCTGGGATTGCATTGAACTCCATGAAGAGCCAGAACAAAGGCCCATTTTAACCTAGAATTTTTCAGACTAAGGCCTAGGACCCTGCCTCTTACTAGGGTAACATTACATTGATGAGTCTATCCAATAAGTAACATTCTAGTTGGGCTGAATTTTGCACCAAGCCATCTCAGTATATATCTTATGTCTATACCATAAAAATTTACTTTATGCAGGCCATCTATCCACGGCTGGACCCCTGGTAGCTGTATCTACTTCATATTCTGCACCTGGCTTAAACCGTAGCAACTTAGAAGCTCATTTTCTTAGAAAGGTTCTGGGGGCCGGCCCGGTGGCGCAGCCACTTTTGGTGGCCCAGGGCTTGCCGGTTCAGATCCCAGGTGCGGACATGGCACTGCTTGGCAAGCTCTGCTGTGGTAGGCATCCCACATATAAAGTGGAGGAAGATGGGCACGGATGTTAGCTCAGGGTCAGTCTTCCTCAGCAAAAAGAGGCGGATTGGCAGCAGTCAGCTCAGGGCTAATCTTTCTCAAAAAAAGAAAAAAAAAAGGGTCTGAAGGCCACTGTGTCCACAACTCCTATCTGGTATCACTGCTTCTGTGGGTAGGTGCTTTCTAAATAATAAAATATTGATTGTCAAACATGAATGTGTAAGATTAACCTGTAATACTTATTTAAAATGCAGGTTTCAATCCACAGTGCCTAGACATTTTGATTAAATAGATCTAGAGGGAGACCAGTATCTCCATTTTTAAAAAGCATCTTCAGTGTTTCTGATGAAGTTGGCAGAGGATCACACTTTTAGATATTCTATATAGAGAAAATCCAAGAATTGATGTTTTCTCAGTGTGCTCTGCTTTGTCCAGAGTCACTTGAAGCTATTCAGAGTTTTACCTGGCCACAGAATCTTGCACTAAGGTTCTTTAAAGTCTAAATGTTTTCAAATCAGACTCAGATACCTGTGGAATGAGAAGAGAACTCATTAGAGAGCAAGGCAGTTTTAGATCTTACCTATCACATAAAAAGTTTAAAAAATGTTATATCAGAAATGATTCCTTGCAGAGTGGCTGTAATTCACCACCATCATCACTTCTACAGTTAGATGCTGTTACAATGGAAGCCATTAGAAGACTCCACCCAGCTGGGTTTAGAAACTTGATGAGATCATAACTCAGTGGCAGATGGTAGCAGGGAAAATAATGCAAAGCACAACTAAATGATAGCAGGAAATGAGGATGCATATTGGGAGGGGGCACACCATAATTTTTAACTAACAAGAAATGCACTTCACTTAACTAAGCTTATCTCAGCCTTCAGTATTACGTAGTGTGAGATTTTAGGAAAAACCTTTGGCAAACAGGAACAGACCATTTCTTTTATAGAGAACTTAAACATAATCATTTATCTTCTTATGTTGGCAGTTAGATAATTTCATTACCAAGCTTTTCTTTGAAATACTTTTTCACTGATTACTCCTGTTTAACAAGAAGTGTTTATGAATAAGATTAACAAGATACATAAAACATCACTGGGAAATTTTGCTGCTGGGTAGAAATGTGAAACATCAATTACTTTGCTAGGAAACAGGAGAGGCAAACTATCCTCTCTGGGTAACTCCCCCCAGAAGATTAAAGGGAGAATACTTCTAAAATATTATGGGAGATTTAATTAAAACTGAATGATTCAGCATATAAAATTTGGAGAAGCAGTGTCAATCAGGAAGAATGGGAAGATTAGCTCTGGAGGAAAGATCAGAAAGTCTAAGCTTGATAGAAGCTGGGGTAGGTTAAGAACTAAGACAGCACAAGGAGCCCAATAATGGAGTGGTTGAGAGCATGGAACTTTTTTCTCTCTCTCTTTTTTTCACCTGGGTGTGTAATCCTAACTCTTCCATCTGTAAAGCAGGGATAAAAACAATATCTCTTTCACAAGACTATCAGTGGGTTAACACAGATAAAGGACTTAGAACAGTGCCTGACACACAGTAAGTTCCATGTAGCCCTTGGCTCTTATTAACTACAAGGGATCCACGCTTCTCTAAGACAGCAGGGTTTAAATAATAGAACGTTCCCCGTAGATAAGCTAAATCCCTTCTTCTCTTTCAATTTAAGCTCATATTCTCTTATTCTGTCATTCCTGGCAATAGGGACTAGTCGGACGCTCTTCTCTGCATGATGACCCTTCACTCTGAATGATTTCATGTAATCGGAAACATTTGCGGATATAGAGCTTTTCAGGGGAAAGCGTGCCCCAATCTAATTTCACAAAGTAATGTCAGGAAGGAAACAATCAATGAGCTTACTCCAAATCAGAGCACTTTAAAGAAAGTTTTTTAATCTACCTTTAGGCCAGTAAAGCATGGAGAGAGAATCACTGATGTCCAAAAAATGTGTAAGAAAGGGCTTCTTATGTCTATACTTCTCACTATATTTTAAGGTGAAAATTAAAGGTCAGGGAAAGGTCTAATCTATTAAATCAGAATAATTTAGGATGTGTTTCCATGTTAGGATATCAGAGTATTTACTTTGACTCTTGGGTTTTATAACACATGAATTTAGTTTTTCCTAATCGTGGTTTTAGTCTCCTGTTTTAAGTACCAACTTGAAGACAGAGGACACCACTTACACATATTTAGAAGCTCATAAAACCTAGCAAACGATTTACGTATTACAAGTGTTCATTAAGCATTGGTGCTCAGTGAGTCAACTTGGAATTTAGGAACTAACAATAATTTCTGAGCTTTGTTTGTTGAAATTAATGGCAACGGGCAAACATCGCACAGTGATATAAATGTCCAATAAAGATATATTTCTTCAACCAGTGCAGACAAATAGTATATAAAATGTAAACCTCATTTCCTTTAATGAGCACTGAGGTTGCTCATGGCCAACTAGGGGGGATCCATGGGTGAGGCATCCCCAGTATCTCATGGGTGGGGCTCTTGATGGAGTCTGTAGTATGGTTAGTAGGATCCATGTCCCTTTAATGTCCTCTGAGAGTCCTATCTGCCACTCTCTCAGCCTCTTTCCTTTCTTCAGATATGCAGCTCACTCAGTACTCTGTATAGGGCGAGAGGGAAATGGGCATCCTTGGCAACAACCCACACAGCTGGGGGAGCTGGGTTCTCACTCACATGCATTCACTTTCCCCCACAAGAAAAATCACAGGCCAATAAGTTCTCACTTCGTACTGAGCTGTGCCACCTTTGGGAAAGAGATGACACAGGTAAAGTCAAACTCTTCCTTTTACCCTCTCTAATGCATCCAAACTCATATTTTTCTGCTCCAATGGGATGCTAGAATTTCTCCACTGAAAACTTGGACTTCCCCAAGTGCTCTCTCACCCAAGGGTGATTGTCTAGAACGCTGTGCTCCAGGGGCACCCAGACAACAGCCAGGAGGGGTTGGAGCAAGTTTACAGGCCACCAGAGAGTCCACAGACAAGATTGAGGTCTGTATGTCTATTATCCAACACACAGGTGCTCGAGACTCCTGGGTTCTTTGGCATATTGTGCTGGATCCCATGGCTCCCACAAAGGGACCTTTGTCCATGGATTGATGCCAAATTCTTGTTGTTGAGGGAGGGATACCAAGGGACATCTTATTCAGCCATGTTGCTGATGTCACTCTTGAACATATACTTAACTCATACAGATTCCTCCCTAATTGAGAAATGTACTTTGTTGCCTATATTATATGTCACCCGCGCCATTGAACCAACACCGCCCTCAGGCCTTCCCAGACTTCTTTTCATTCTCATTGAGTTCTGAGGTTGTTTCCTTACCCTACTCTAATCCCTATAAGAAATACATCAGCACATCTGACACTACAGACCCAGAGCCCTTCCTTTCAAGTTGTATCAGGATATGTTTTACATATTAAACGTTAATACGTGTCATTCTTCTGCTGTTTCCCACAAGACAATTGAAAGATACATAACAAAAAAGAATCAGAATGTTTCAGGGTGATTTTTTCCTAAGAAGACTAGAATATTTTCCAATGTTTTTTTATCACTCATATCATCTCTCCCACATTTACTAGGGAAATGGGCAAAGAGCTTTAAATTACTCAAGATCATGCAACGTGAAGGTAAAAATTAGAATCCAGTGACTACGAACTATTTGAATTAAAGCTTTGCAATATTGTCCTGGTAATTGCATGAGCTTAAGATGTTTCCTTTGCATTTTGAATTCTTTTAAATATAAGCTTATTTTTATATTTCATGTTCTATGGGATTTTACTTCACTTTTACTCGTGTTTGTTTTCATCTTCTATATTTAAAATTTAGCAGGTTCCTTACTGAATTGTCATCTCCAGGTGAGGTTGGTGAGTGACTGCTGATGACCTTTGAACTGTGGAAAATATGCAAGTTCATAAAATATTCCTTACTTAAAATATTCCACTCTTAAAATTAAAATATTTAGTACCCGTAAATCTTCTATTGAAATTCAAATGTGATAGTTGGAATGCATAATATTTTAAGTCATTATTGCTCACTAATGAATCTTGTAATCAAATTAGTTAATATACATAGTTTATTGAATCTTAAATAGATAAGCTTTATAACTAATTCAATTCTTCTGTTCATGGATTTATTTTTTTTGAGCACTATTTCTTAAGAGAACTGTATTTTAGCTTTGACCAAGTTAGAGCAGGTCAAGATACAGTTCCTGATAGGTTAATGAACACTTATTTCAGTGATAGAAATTTTTTAAATAAAACAAGAGGTTGACATGAAGAGGCAGAGAAATTAGCTTAAACCTCAATGGTACTTATATAATATGAACTTAAAAAGTTGATGGTTCAAGGATCAAACACTAAAACTTAACATAGAAATTTAATAAATTCTTTTCAACTGTTACAAATTACTCAAGTAAAGAACACCCACATAGAGGGGCCAGTCTGGTGGCACAGTGGTTAAGTGTGCACGTTCCGCTTCGGCGGCCTGGGGTTCACCGGTTTGGATCCCTGGTGTGGACATGGCACCGCTTGGCACGCCATGCTGTGGTAGGCGTCCCACATACAAAGTAGAAGAAGATGGGCACGGATGTTAGCTCAGGGCCAGTCTTCCTCAGCAAAAAGAGGATTGGCGGCAGTTAGCTCAGGGCTAAACTTCCTCAAAAAAAAAAAAACAACACCTCTATAGAAAGGAAGCAACTCATAAAAGAAAAATCATGACCAACAAATGCTAAAAATCTTTGACTAAATATATAAAAATAAAATGTACATTAAAAAACAATGTGATACAAGAGTTTTTTACCTCCCAAACTGACATATTTAAAAATCTTATAAGGAGCATTGTGTTGAGAGTACAAAAAGAAAAAAAGCAAATAATCCCTTATATTTATGGAGGCAATGTTAGTTGATACAGCCTTCCTGGCAATTGGGTGATATGTACACAAACTTTCCTGCAATTAAAAAGTATGTACCAAATAACTTGAAATATATATTTATCAACTTAGAAATACTTCTAAAAAGTTTCTCTGAAGAAATAATTAATGGTGTCTGCAAAAATTTAGCTGAATTATTAAAGACTGTAAACGATGTATCAGCTTATGGGCCCAGCCCCTTGGCCTAGCAATTAAAGTTCTGCATGCTCCACTTCAGTGGCCTGGGTTCATAAGCTTGGATCCTGGCCGTGGACCTACACCACTTGTCATCCATGCTGTGGCAGCAACCCACAAACAAAGTAGAGCTAATCTTCCTCAAGCAAAAAAAGAAAATTGGCAGCAAATGTTAGCTCAGGGTGAATCTTCCTCAGCAAAAAGAAAAAAAGAAATGGTCTATCAGTTTAAAAAGCAGAAATCACAACAACTACTTTACCAAGAGAATTTAATAGAAGGAATTCATTCAACTGGGACAGGAGAATTGAAAAGACAAAAAAGGGAGCCCTGAAGTATCATGGAGGTAGCAACTGCAGGAGGAAGCTACCACCCCAAAGGCTGGGATAATCAAGCGAAGAGTGAGAAGACCAGAAAAACTAGTAGTTTGAGGCTGGACTGCCTGGCTGGTGTCTGTAACTCAGGATCTTAGCAGAAGGCCCCGGGAGCTGGGACTCAGATATCCGAAGAAAGGCTGCCAGCCAACTGGTACTGGTCTCTCTGAGGAGGCAAAATGAGACTGGTTGTAGAAGTTTGGGGAAAAGAAGTAGAAACCAGCACCAACTGCTACTGTTAACCTACTGCCACTTCCAGGGCGAAAAACCACTGCTGAGAAGGAAAACAGGAAAGAACAAGTCCCTTCTTCCTTCTCCAGGCCTCCAGCCTTCCTTTTGAGTCCTCTACTGTCAAAATCTGACAGGGAGGCAACTGGCAAAGCAACAATGTGGTCTGCAGAGTCCCCAGCCCGAGTAAGACAAGACAGAGTATAAAAGAGTAGGTTTGAAACAGAAAGACAATGGCTTAATAACAAGCAAATATGGTAAAAGTACATTTTACGTTACTTCTTAATTCTGTTTTATGCCAAACACACAGTCTAAAAATACTTCGAAAATGAATGAATAATGCTGTAGAGAAACCATAGGAACCACTCAATAGACAAATTAACAAATTCAAGGGAAATTTGCTATTTTGGCAGCCTGTGCTCTACTAAAAAGCTCTTTTAATTAGTTTTGTTTAGTCCTACATATAATTAAGTTGCGAATTTAGAAGCAACTTTATATGTTTCAGTTGAATAAAAATGAAAAATTAAGTTAGTAACTTTTTTGTTCAAACATATTGAATTTTGACAGTACCAAAACTAACAGGAGAAAGAATAGAAAGACAAAAATAAATGGAACTACGTGAGGTGATAGATATGCTAATTAGCTTGGTTGTGGTAATCATTTCACAATGCATGCATATATCAAAACCTCACATTGTACACCTTAAATATATGCAATTATTTGTCAGAAAGGAATAGAAAAAATTAAATATTCCTAAATCTATTGAAGAAATTGAATCAATTATTTTTATAAAGCAAAGAAAAGTACATTCTCCAAAACCTTCACTAGTGAAAATTTCCAAACATTTAGGTAAGAAATAATACCAGCCTTAGATAAACTCTTTCAAAGGACAGAAGAAGAGTGGATACTTACCATGTCATTTTATGTCAACATAGGTATTACAAGAAAGAGAAATTACAGACCACCCTCCCTTGTGAATACAGATGCAAAAACTCTTTTTTAAAGTTGTCAAATCATCAAAAATAGCTATGTATAAGAAGGATAATGTATCAAAACTAACTGGGATTTATCCCAGGAATGCAGGTTTGGGTAACCATTCAAAACTTAATCAGTATAATTTTTTGCATTAACAGAATGAAGGAGAAAAGAATGATCATTTCACTAGGTGCAAAGAAATTATTTGACTAAATTCAACATCTACTCGTGATTAAAAAAAAAACTCTTAGCATACTAGGACCAGAAAGGAATGTTCTTAATCTTACAATGGTTGTTTATGAAAAACCCATAGGTAACACTATACTCAATGATGAAAGAGTAAATCCCTTTGCCCTGATGTCACGAACAGGACATAAATGTCCACTCTTACCACTTTTGTTCAACATAGTGCTAGAGATTCTAGCGTGTGTAATAAGACAAGTAAAAGAATAAAAGATATAAAGATCAGAAAGAGGAAAGCAAAACTATTTATTGGTACATGACATGTGTGTGTATATTTTTTTAACCAGAAAAATATACCAGAAAGCTATTAGACTTAATAAATGAGTTTGGCAAAGTTGTAGGATTAACAAGGTTAATATACAAAAATCAATATTTTTCTGTATACTAGCAATGAATAAGTGGAAAGGAAAATTTTAAATCAATGTCATTTGGGGGCTGGCCTGGTGGCACAGCGGTTAAGTTCACACGTTCCACTTTGGTGGCCCAGGGTTTGCCAATTCAGATCCTGGGTGCGGCCATGGCATCGCTTGGCAAGCCAGGCTGTGGTAGGTGTCCCACATATAAAGTAGAGTAAGATGGGTATGGATATTAGCTCAGAGCCAGTCTTCCTCGGCAAAAAGAGGAGGATTGGCAGCAGATGCTAGCTCAGGGCTAATCTTACTAAAAATAAATAAATAAATAAATAAAAATAAGCAAATAAATAAATGTCATTTGCAATAGCATCAAGATCCTCAAATACCTAAAAGTAAATCTAATAAAACGTGCAATTCTTCTACAATGAAAATTTCAAAACTTTATTTTAGAAAATCAAGTAAATAAAAGGAGCATTCACTATATTTATGATTTAGAAGCCTCAATATTTTTAAGTTGTCAGTTCTCCCCAAATTAACCTCTGGTTTTAATGCAATCCCAACCAAAAATCTAGAAAGGTGTGTGAGTGCTTGCGAGTGTGTAAAGTGACAAGCTGTTTCTAAGGGTTGTATAAAAATTAGAAGAAATTTTAATAGCCAAGACAATCTTGAACAAAAACAAACTTGGAGAACATAGACTATCATATTTCAAGACTTATTATAATGCCACAATAATTAAAACTGTGCAAAGACAGATAAATGGAACAATGGAACCAGACAGCAAAAGCACCACAGCAACTCACTGGGAAATGAATTGCTTTTCAATAAATGATTCTGCAGTAATTGGATATCTGTATAAAATAAAAAGGACCTTTACTCCCTACTTCAAACATTATACAAAAATTAAATTGACGTATATCTAGGGCACATGTGAAAGATGAATAAATAAAGCAAATAGAAAAAAAACAGATGACAATATCTTTATTATTTTGGGATGGCAAATGGTTCTTATATGGGACACAAAAAGCAGTTGCAGTAAAAAAATGGATATATTGGACAGCATTCAAATTATGAAGTTGCATTCACTAAAAGACACCATTATAGGGTTTGAAAAAGCTACTGGGAAATGATATTTGCAGTTTATATAACTATCAAGGGCTTATATTCAGGATATTTAAGAACTCAAACAAATCCATTAAAAAAACAAACAACCCAAGAGAAAATTGAGCCAAAACCGAAACAGGCTGACTAAAAAGGGGAAATTGAAATGGCCAGTGTATAAAAATGTGTTCAATTTTACTATACTACCAACTCCACCAAAATGTCAAAATGATAAGAATAGACAACAATGTAGGACAATTGGAACTGTCATACATTGCAGTAGACATTTACATTGATACTACCACTTGGAAAAATTGTTTGGCAGAATCTACTGATGTGGGACATACACACACCTTATCAAGCTGCTATTCCTAGATATATGCCCAAGAGAAATGCCCACAAATATTAATAATAAGAACATATATAAGAATATTCATGGAAGTGTTGTTTTAATAGGCCAAAACTGGGTAAGTACAAACGTCTACTTACAGTAAAGTTGATGAATAAATGGTGAGATAGA